GTAAACTTCTGGCAACTCAGCTGCCAGTTTTTTACCGTAAAATGAGGCCGTTTTTTTTTACAGTGTATATGTATGAAATGCATTTCAATATTGGTAGGGCTTTGCTTGATAATGTTCTGGTCAGTGTGTTTTGTGATGTAGTGTCAGATTTGCAGATATCTGTAGAAATCACTTTGGGTATAAACCAAATTGATCCTGGAATTGTGAAAATGATTTAAATACATTTCCCTACTTCCCCTTAGTTGCTTTTAGGCTATATTCCACACTGGAAGTGTGTGTTAAATACATATGTTGCTTATTTTCACTAATAAATGGCAGAGTATTTAATGTTATTCCTGGTAAAGAATTTATTTCAGTAGACACCTATCCAATCTCTCTATCACTTGCTACCAAAGCTACCATTGCTGTGAGTTGGGCCGCCCAGTAGTACATTTTGAAGTTGGGTAAACTTACTTCCTATTAACATTTTCAATCTTATTCTTGGTCTTCTATTTCTCCAGATAAATCTTAATAAATGCTTTTTAAGCAACTTAAATGTGGACTGTAGAATGGATAAGGACTAAAAGAGGAAAAGTAGCCTTGGTAAAAGGTTAATTCTCACCCTCTCTACCCTACAAAACAGCGAAAGTGGTAAGATATCCCATCTGCCTATGTCTACATTGATTTCTTTTATCAGTTTTTTATAGTTTACTGCAGATAGTTTCTCGGAACTTGGAGTGAGCATAACGCCCAGGTAGCAAAATCTCTGTTTGGGTCTTCTAAAATAGACTCTATCATCTAGATGGGAGGGCCGTTTGCCCTCTATCATCATGGCCTCAGATTTGTCTGTATTGACTTTGTAGCCTGAGACAGCACTGTATTCGCTAAGGCTATTCAGTAGTGCTGGGATAGAGGTGCTAGGGTTCTCTACAAATAATAATGAAAGGTTTTCTATCATATCAAAAACTTTAAAGTTTAACCGTTGCTCGGGTCAAAGACCCTCTACTCTCTGCTCCTCATTATGATTCTGGTGATTCTTAGACTAATTCTCATCATATGTTTTCTAGGATCAATGGCCAGTTTAATTGACATGGCAGCACAAAGAGCAGGTCAGAATGCTGCGTTTTGACCCAACTTTGGATAAGATAAACAATGAACCACCAAACGTGATCAAGATGAAAAACAGGTATCTCTTGGGTAACAGCTATCTTTCAACGGTTATCTACTGTTTGATAACATTTTGAAATTTATAAATGGACTTAGAACAAGCATTTCTTTTATTTCATGTTTACTGTCTTTATGCAAAGATAAATTAAAGAATATAGCGGAGGATTTTCAAGAATTTATTAAAAGACCCGCCCTCTCCACTTTAAAAAATGCACATGCACAACCCTGTATCCCGAGAGGGTACGCCTAATTTAACGCGTGTGAGAGCATGCATGAGCCCATTTCTCCTCATGCACACTCTGTTTAAAAGTTGCTACTTGCATTGCTCATGCAAGCTTACTTTACAAAAGAAGATTTGCAATTTTTCCGCTATGGTAGAGTCACCACCGGTAAGTGAAAATGGATGACCTTACGTAAACCAATCACCAGAATGATTGACAGTTAGGAGGACCACTTATTTAGATGATCCACCCGGAAAAAGAACATCCTCCACTAAACCTTTAATTTATACCAAGCTAAAGAAAATAAGCTAGGATCAGCTTAAACACCACATGCTGAACCAAGCTAGACTAAGCCCTGCATGGCTAAGTAAAGAAGGAAAGTTGAGCCAAGTTAATGTTGGCTAAAGTAGGTGATTCAAATCCTCGTTGGTCACCCTTTGGTTTAAAATAATGTTTTAAATTATTAACATTCAGTCACTTTAATATCAATGTTTTAAACAGTCTCAGTTTCTTGTAACTCTATGGATTCTAAAGATAAGATCTCATATGAATGATGGTTTTTGGTGTTTTTAACATGGATCAAACTTCCTGTAAATGTTACCTGGAGATGTGGTGAAAATAAACTAAACATTTTAACAAAGTTAAACTTTATTTCAACAACCAATTATATCATTTTACACCAAAGACAAACTGAAAATGTTTCAGATTGAGATTAAAACACTGACTTTATTTCACAGTGTGAGAGTAATACACAATAAAACAATTTTCAGATATAGATGATACAGATATGACCTGGAATTTGCTGCTCTGTTTATCCATAATCACACATTTACCTTTAAAATGATCTTTTCTTCTGATCAGATCTAATTAGTGTGATGAACGCACACGGCAGTGGGAACAAACATCACTGCAGCTGTAATGTTGGACCAGCAGCTCTCAGCCTGCAGCTGCAACCTTCCACTGATGGATCCCTTGATTTATATCAACTCTTAACTTGAAAGAGAGCTGCAGGTTAAAAATAGTCATTGCTGCTGAAAAAAGGCACAGAAAAAAGAAAGTTTTCTTACTTCTTACCTGAAACTGATCTGAATGTTACTTTCAGATAATAAAAACTGCCATGACTTAAAATATAATCATTAAAATACAGATATTATAGGCTAAGAGTGAAGACATTTAGTAGACTAGGAGTTCTTGATTCTATTTAGATTATATTTAACTGGAGAATGAATAAAAATGCACCATGTGCCATGTTTTATTTTTAATACTCTGCAGTATTCTTTAACTTGATTTTTATAAACATCACTGATACAGAAGATAACTATCTTCCAGTTGCCTTTCTGCAGTTACATCCTGCACTGAAGAGCGTTGAATGATGAGTCATCTGATCATACAGATTTATTTAAAATTTTCCAACAAGTCAACACTAATAAGGCTGGATCAAGCTAAAAACTGTAGCATTTAGATTTCCATCCATCCATTATCCGTCACGCTTATCCCAAACGGGGTCGCAAGGGGTGCTGGTGTCTACAGGCAAGATGCAGGGTACACCCTGGACAGGTCACCAGTCCATCACAGGGCAACACAGAGACAAACAGGAAAAACAACCATTCACACACACACTCACAAATTTGGTTCCCACGGGTACATAGGTCCCCACGTGTATGTATAGAGTCAGGCCAAAGTCCTCACGCAGTTGGAAAAACAAGAACACACACACACACAGGAGAATTTAGAGAAACTAATTAACCTAACAGTCGTGTGAGAGGAAGCTGGAGTACCCGGAGAGAACCCACACATGCTCAGGGAGAACATGCAAACTGCATGCAGAAAGAACCTTCTTGCTGCAAGGCAGCATTGCTACCCACTGCTCCACTAAGCAGCCATAATGTGCATATATAATCACTGAAAATCTTTTTAAAAATAAAATTTTAAAAGTTTGCCATAGCTGTTTTTATCTTTGGGACAAGCTGCTGGTATTTAGCAGTTTTGATGCTTTTCTTGATATAAAACAGCTTCAATCCTAGAGTTTAGACTTCTTTTTACATCTGAATGATTCATAGGAGTTGAAAAAAAGCAACCGGTGAACAAAGAAGGAATCTGATGAACCTTTAGGTCAGCAGAGGAATCCATCACGACCAGTTTAAAGGATGATAACTAGACTGTCTTCTTAAACAAATTAGGCCTTTTTGTTAAATCACTTGCATCAATATAACTATTACATTTTCTTAAACATTCATGTCTCTAATAGATTCCTGTTGGTCCCCTTTATCAAATGAGTCACCCTTGATGAGAACAGGGCTGGAATATGAAGCAGATGAAAGGTTTCTGATATTTGTTGCTCTAAAGAGGTAAATTCATACTCTCTGTGTGAGCTGAAACTCTAATCCGTTCCCTTTGTGTTCCCTACATGGGCTTTTAGTTCCTGGTTCTGATCACCATGAATCCACAGCAGCAGCAGGTCACCAGTCAGTGACGAGTCCACCGGTTCGCCTGGAGGTCGATGGCAGCTGGAGATCCTGTAACCCAAATGGAGCTGGGACTCGGATGTGGTCCAGAGAAGAAGAGGTCCGCCGGGTCTCACCGTCAGAGGCGTGACTCACAGGGCAGAGGTCTGAACGCCACCTCCATGTTCTCCTCCATGATGATGTCAAAGCGGCACATCGCTGGCCTGTTGGAGAAGCGGTTCTAATGGTTAAAACAGCATCTTCTAAACCCACCGATTGGAACAGATTCTATTTTACTTATAGATATATTGTTAAAAAGTCTTAAGATGTCTTAAATGCAATTTTATCTGCCATCTCACATCCTTTCATTTTAATTTGGGTTGGTAGCCATAGCAACCCATCCTTTGTATTCTGAATAAGGTAGTATTTCTTGCTTTCAGAGGGAAGTTCAGTTAGAATCTGGGTATATTATTGCTTGAAACTGTTTTATATCTTCCACCCACGGAACGGCTGATAAAACTAATAACATTTTTGCATTTACAGAAAATCCTTTTGGTGATTATTTCTGTTAAAAATTGTAAAGCAACCAAAATCTGAATTTACTGATAAATGCTAAGATATCCTTGTATTTGTTTATATCTGAATCAAATTTGTATAGTCTTATCTAGGACTGCAACTAGCGATTATTTTGCAAATCGATTAATCTGTCGATTATTTTTTAGATTAATCAATTAATAATCAGATAGCTAAAGATTAAATAAGTATTTTTATGAAATCAAACCAGGTGAAACTCAAACTTTTTCACTTGAGGAGTTTGGAAAGGAGCATATAGACCAAAATTGTTTTTAAAATTTTGAACACTGAAAAAAATTGAAATCTAGATGAGTCATTTTTTCTTAAAATAAGTTAATTGTTCTTGGATTAAGGAGGTAAAACAGACATTTCACCAATGGAACAAGGGAATTTGCATTTAAAATAAGAAAACACAAGTGCATTGTCTTATTTCAACTTCATATGATCTAATTATCTTATTTTAAGAGTAAAAATATTCATTCCATTGGTAAACTATGTCATTTACCTTCTCAAATTAAGGATAAATTCACCTAATTTAAGAAATTTTTACTTATTTCGACATCGTTTTTCCAGTAAATGCAAAATGTTGGACATTTTTTTTTTTTTACAATTTTGGTATAACTACTGCTCTAAGTGGGTCTCTATACTTCATTTAACAATCCATTACTATATTGGTTGACGATTATTTTAATAATTAATTAATCATGATTAATTCGATTAATTGTTTCAGCCCTAGTTTTACCCTTCATCTTTTCTTGTAGGTTGGTATATCAAATGCAGTAGTTTCTAACTTGCTAAGATCTATTTGTGTTACTCTTTTGCATGAAAATCAATCTATATCTTACTGCTTGATTTCATATTAAATACAAAAATGAAGTATAAAGCCTTACAGAACCATTGTTCCTAAAATTCAATCTTCTCATAATGGACTTCTTTGAAAGGGGCTTTAAATGTCTAAAGAGAGAGACTGAGGGTGACTCAGATGACCTGTCAGGACGCTCCAGCGGCGTGAAGCGAATCCTCAGCAGCCTGATCTTGTAACGAGGGCCGATGATGTTCCCGGTGTTGATCCTCATGGAGATCTTCTGGATGGGCTGCAGGTCCTCATCGAACTGGGCCAGCAGTCGAGTGGAGGTGTACTGTTCGAACCGCAGCAGCTTACTGCCAGACAGGGTCACAGTTAGATTCAAACACCTTTTTCCTCCATTATTGGGAATCTGATCACACAACTAACAAAGTCAGGGTCTGTTAAAAGCTTAAAAACTAATCTTGCTTTGTTTAAGTCTTGTCATGTGAATCAGCCCTTTTATTTGAAGTCATTTTATATCTCAATGTCTTTAAACATTTGAAAACAAAATAAGTAAAAATGTCTTAAATTAAGTGTTTACCCTTAATCTGAATAGGTAAATGAGATAGTTTGCCAATGGAATGAGTATTTCTTTCTCTTAAAATAAGATAATTAGATAATATGCACTTGAAATAAGACAGTGCAATTGTATTTTCTTATTTTAAGTTAAATTTGTCTTGTTCCATTAGCAAAATGTCTGTTTTACCTCCTCAATCCAAGAACAAATGCACTTATTTTAAGAAAAAATGACTTATCTAGATTTCATTTTTTCCAGTGAACATCTGCGTTACTAATAGGAGGTTAAGCCAAAAAAAAACAAAATCGGTCAAAGTCTAAAGAAAAGCATTAAACTAATGTAAGACATCCTGATTGACTGTAGATATGGAGCACTTTAAGGAAGGTCTGCTTGGAAGAGAACTATAACTAACATGAAGCTGGATCAGGACTTCTGCAGAGCTATGAACTTTAGACCAACAGCAGTAGCCATTAAAGTTTTCCCCACTTTCCTTTTTTAAACATCAATCTTTGTACTAAAATATTCTTTCTGTTCATGATTTGTGGACATTAAGATCTAAAGAGAAGCACCATCTCTTGGTCAGACGCTGTAATTCAGGGAAAGGGTGGAGTCAGAGTAAAAAATATGCACACCCAGGAGAAGGAAGAGGTCACTCCAGTGGCTGGAAGTTTGCTGCCATTCGGCTGGAGTTTGACTGGGAAAGGCCATTTTGAATGACTGATACTGTAAACCTGCTTACTGTACATCTAACATTGTAACTGAAATAAATCAGACTCACTGGTCTATCCGGGCCTCTGTGAAGTTCCTGCCACTGTGCAGACGGATGTAGACGACCCCCCATCTCAGGTACTGGTTCCAAGTCACCATGTCCACTCTGTAGCTCAGCTCTGCCACACACAGGACACAGAGTATTAGCAGTCAACCATAGAAAACCAGCCTGCTCCACAGTGGGGCTTTTGCTCTTTTCATTGCAGTAGGAGTTAAAATTTTTCAGGACTCACTCTGGTAGGGCAGGGAGGCGGTGGTGCTGAAGAAGACTTTGGTCTGTCCTAGCTGCACTAGAGCATCTCTCCACTGGCTAAGGTTGTAGCCTGCAGGTAAAAATCAGGGTTAGTTTTAGAGAAGATCTGGACATATTTAACCGTCTTATAAAAACGGAATTCTTGGCCAAGAATGTATGCATCTATTTTATTTTTTTTCCCAAAAGCCTCCCAGTGGACCTTTGTATGTCATGGGCTGCAAATGCTTCTTTGTCCTGTTTGGTCTAGGACAGAAGTCACGGATTAGCGGACCGCAGTCCAGATCCGGACCCAACCTGATTTAAAATATTTATAAATTACCACATGCTATACGATGAAAGTGTCTAACTTCACTTGCACCGCTTCTCATGTTATTACGGTAAAGCCTTCAGAGCATCCTGGACCAGGCTACATGTGGTACAAATGATCCAATGAGCTGCTGTCAGTCGATGGCGATGGGAAAGAAGGAGAGGATGATGAGAAAAAGAGAGCCGAGAAAGTGTGGACTGCTGGAAGAACTGTGGTGAAAGAAAAGTGAAATGGTGCTCAAAGATGACCCTGAACATTTAGAGGATGTTTGGCTCAACCTGCTGCTGTGAAGCAGGATTCTCCACCATGAACAGAATCAGAAATAAACATGGATGCAGGATCA